CGCCCCCCTCTTAAATTTATATACATAGTATCATACTTGTAAAAGGACTGAATTGCTTACATGGCAAGATAAGATAAGATAAAGCTGAAAAAAGACTAATCCTAATCTTATAAAAAACTAGTCCTAATCTTATCATAAAGAACTAATCCTAATCATAACTTATTGCTGACATACGAACAGTGGAACCACCTTAGTGGGGTCCACATTAGTGTTCTCTACATGGTTTCTGGCATCTCTGCCCACCTCAATGTGCAATACAGAGATCAGATCCACCTTGTGCTCCCTTTGAACATCCGTTGAACTTGCACTTCTTAGGATGGTGGATCCTGTGTTGTGAAGAAGCCAAACTAGTTACAGGCTCAGATTGTTTTCCTGTTGAATCTGTGATGACTGAAGGCTCAGGGCTCAACTGAACAGGAGCAGGAGGAGGAGAATGGGACCTGGTTCCTAACTCTAAAAGTGGCTAGATTTCCATAAGGAAGCTGCCCGTGTACTGCCTGTGACATATAGCCACCAGATTTCTTCGCTGAAGTTGAACATTCATCAATAATAGGAATGGGAATGCTATTCTTCACCAGACATTTGGATTAGATGAAAAGATGTATTCACATTGCGGTCATTGCCCTGGTCTGCGAATGAATTTTCATCTGAATTCATGGCATCCCCAGTTCCTTGAGGAAGGCCAAGTTTTAGAATACCAGAGTCATCAAAAGAAGACAACTTTTCTCTAAGTTTATTAGCAGTTCCATTGCTTTTTTCTACGTCACAGTAGTAATCATCATGATAGTAACTTGGTGTGGGACCTAAAGCAAGTACTGACTGGAAACCATCATCAGGTGGAACTTGGGCAGATAAATTGCAATGGTTATTACTGGAATCTATATCTTTGGAAATCTTTATTTCCCATAGCCAAAAAAGTCCAGGCACAAAGCTGTATCACTGAAGTTATCATTTTTTCTGATCTCCCCATTACTAGGGAATAGGGAATTTGTCACATTGAAATCTATCATATGATGAGAAAAAAGCAAAATGAACTGGTCTGAGAACACTAGTAGCAAAAGAAGAATGCCCCTAGCAGGGCTGCCTTGACACCATCCCATTCAGAGGTGTATGCAGCATTACCAAATGTAGAAGTAGAAGTAAGATTTGATAAAGAGACCATCAGGTCCACTGCCGCTTACAAAGCCCAATGTATCCTTCATGTACATTATTGTTGGTTGTCAAAACGATAATTGTGGATTAATTGCCACTGAGGCATTCAGTTTTGATAATATCTGGCAACATTTCTAGGATAGAAGCCATTAATGAGAACAGTCAAGACTGAAACACTGAGAATAGAGTGTTGTTTTCTCCTTTCTAAGGGATCCTTCAGCTTCATTAAACCTGAAAGATCTCAAGACATCTACAGGAACCACAAATAAGCAGATTAACAAAGCAATTCTAGATCTCTTAAATGAAGAGAAAAAAAAGCAGAAAAGAGATAGAGAAAACACTATCAGAGGCGGAGAGGGAAGAAAAGAAGCACCCACTGCCTAGTGAATGGTGGGAGGACACCACTTGATTCAAATGAGGCAAACCATAAAAAGGACAACATAAGCATATTACAGTGTTATCAATGTGGTGGCAATAATTAGTTGTTTTGGCCTCTTTAATCAATGCAATGGCCAGGCCTAGGTACTGACTAGTTGACAAAAAAAAAGATATGTTCTAAATTTAGACATTGATGCAATCTCATAAATAAGTTAATATAGACTACAATTACACAAGAAAAGAATGGTATAGAGCATTTATTTTACAGTAGCTAGGCTGATATACTAGAATAAGGAGTTACTCTTTTTTTTTTCTTCCAAAGAAAGAGTACAATCTTGATCATTCAATGTGTCCTTTGTTTGTGGAAATTTGATACCGATACACAACTCATTGGAAGAAAACTAAACAGAACTCCTCCACTGCTTTATTTTATTTTATGTTTTTTTTCTCTATTTTATATATCATTTTTCAACCATGTTCCATGACAAATATTTAAAGCAACAACCTGAATATAACAAAACGTAAACATATTCTATATGTTGTGGTTGACTAGGTTGATTTGTCGCTAATTGTCCAGTTGACCTAGTCAATGCTTGGTAGTCCAAAGTAACCACATCATGAGTATTGACTGACTAGTTAGTGACGCAGTTGGTCTGCCCCTCAACTGACTAGCTGTTGGCTAGTTAATGCTTTGATAATGCTGACACATAGATGGAAATAAAGAATCACTATGGAAGAGCATAAACCCATTACAAGTAACTTTTCCCTATCCAAACTCTATAAATACCATCATTCAATGTACTAGCTGACCTGAGGATTCACTTGAGCAGGATGTTCATTCTGGAGGCCAAGGCTTCTATCCTTATTTCCTGACCTAGAATTCCCTCTTCCTTGACCTTTCTATTCTGTTCATTCAATTATTCCTATCTTTAACCAAATTTACGCAATGCATTCTATTTAAGTGTTATGGTACAGTTGTAGTTCTTGCTGTTTTCTGGCTAAGTCACATTTTAGAATATGTACGCTCAACAGTTTGGTGGGATGTGGGATGAACACAGGACAATTCATGCTTATCTTTTTTTGTTTCTGTTTCCTTCTTTCTCCTCCCTCTTTGAGTTATTGAATTATTTATTAGTTAATTGTCACTAAAGCCGGTTTCTTTCTACTCAGAGCATGCTTGACACGGAATTCTTCACAGAGTATGGTGAGGCAACTCGATACCAAATTCAAGAGGTCATAGGCAAAGGAAGCTATGGTGTTGTTGGCTCTGCAATTGACACTCATACTGGAGAGAGGGTAGCAATTAAGAAGATCAATGACGTTTTTGAGCATGTTTCTGATGCTACTCGTATTCTCAGAGAAATCAAGCTCCTTCGGCTGCTTAGACATCCAGATATTGTAGAAATAAAGCATATAATGCTTCCTCCATCTAGAAGAGAATTTAAAGATATTTATGTTGTTTTTGAGCTGATGGAATCTGACCTTCACCAAGTAATCAAGGCTAATGATGATCTTACTCCTGAACATTTCTGATGATTGTTGATGAACCATTCTTAATCTATTGCAGCAAATGTGTTCCATCGAGATTTGAAGCCAAAAAACATCCTTGCTAATGCAGACTGCAAACTGAAGATTTGTGATTTTGGGCTTGCTCGTGTGTCATTTAATGATTCCCCATCAGCCATTTTCTGGACTGTATGTGGATTCACCATACAATAAATTATAACTTCACTAGATAATTTTTCATTATAACAATTTTTAGATGATATCAATATTCAACCACTACATGTTGCTTACCTTTTGTTTGCTTCTGGAAGGATTATGTGGCAACCCGATGGTATCGTGCTCCTGAACTATGTGGTTCTTTTTTCTCCAAAGTAAGCAAATTCGTGTTATCGATATCTTGAAGGTTATAATCCTACTTTCTTCATGAAGCTGTCGGTTTTGGAGTGTTGGGTCATTGTTTTTTATGTTATTGTTATTTCTAAGGTTAACTATTTTTTATTGCTTTTGTCAGTTTATAAGATTTGTTTTTCAATGACATGTTCAGTTTCTGAATCATGGAATGAGTTGCTGATACATTATACATTTTAAGTAATCTAAACTGTTTAGCAACTGATAATAAAATTAGTCTCCTACTAATTTAGTTAACCCCTATGTGAAATATAGTGGAGTCTTGGGCGAGGTAGCAAAATGTCCACATTTCTACGTTTTGTTTAGCATCTTTGTAGGAGTATTATAGTAGATTTTGGTCTTAAAAAGGTGTATGAGGTGTCTGAGGGTATTACAGGGAGTTTATTTGAAAGATTTGTAAGGTTTTAATCAATGTTTTCAGCATGCAGTTTTACCAGTCAGCTGAACCTGTTGAACCATCACCTGGCCAGATTTCTGGGTCCATTTCACCTCAAACTGCTTACTTGCAAAAAATGTTGACTCGCTCAACGACCTAGTGACTCAGATGGTTGACTGCTGGACCATTTATTCTGGCCAGTGGGTCATGAGTTAGGCATTATTTCTCCTATACTCCTTTTTTGGTATTTTTAACCATTTTTGTCATTAATAACTGTTTTGGAATGGTAGAATATTGATATGTTTCATTCTATTGCCAAATGGGCATATTTATACAGTAAGCTGCTGCAATAAATAAAAAGAAAAGAAAATAGAAAGAAGAAAAAATAGAAAGAAGAGAAAATAGAAAGTACAAAAGTAGAAAGAAAAAACTTTCTAAATCAATCCTTCCACAATCCTAGGAATATATACAATTCTATTTTCAGATCTGAACCAGTAACCCYAYGTTTTYCAACACTCCCCCTCAAGCTGGTGAATAGAGATCCTCCATTCCCAGCTTGGCTATAATTCTTCGAAAGTCTGTACTATTGAGCCCTTTAGTAAGTACATCGGCCAGTTGTCCTTTTGTAGACACA